GGAAAGATATGGGGGAAGGAACACAAAGCTTTCAAGTCCTCTTCAGCATGCCACTCTCTAGCATCTTCATGCATTCACCAACCTAGAAGCTCTCTGAACCCTGTGCTTTAGAGATTTTTTATGGAGGATTAATTGATTAAATAATAGGCCATGAGTCATTCACTCACCTCCAGCCCCTTTCCCCTCTCTAGAGTTCAGTGGGTTGAAATGGAAAGTTGCAACCCTCTGACCACATGGTTGATTCCCCTGGCAACTAGCCTTCATCCTGAGATTAGTTAGAAGCCCTCCATCACAAGTCATCTCATTAGCATACAAACAGATCATCACTTGAGAGATTCCAAAGGTTTTAGGAGCTGTGTGCCAGGAAATGGGGCAGAGACCAAATATTTCTCAACCTATGAACCAGGAGGTCACAGTTCGATTACCAGTCAGGGCACATGCCCGGGTTGTGGGCTCAGTCCTCAGTGTGAGGTGTGCAGGAGGCACCAAAAAATGATTCTCTCTCATCATCATCATATTCTCTCTCTCTCTCTCTCTATCTCTCTCTCTCTCTCTCTCTCTCTCTCTCTCTCTCTCTCTCTCTCTCTCTCTCTCTCTCTCTCTTTCTCTCTACCTCTCTCTCTCTCTCTCCCCCTCTTCCTCTATGAAATCAATAAAAATATTTAAAAAATAAAAAAAACTTTTATTAGAGCTCATAAAATACATTTTTGTTTTCAGGGAGAAGTTGCTGAAGTTACATTTGTAGGTGCTAACCCAAAGAATTCAGCAGAAAATCGGGTAAGCATCAATGATTCTTTTTATAAATTTAAATTCACCATTTAGCCTTTCATACACTTGACTATCCTTTTGGTTAACAACAGGAGGATTTTGCGGGTATGGGGGAAGTTTTAGTGGGAACAGGGAATGTGGAATTGAGTCTGGAAAATAAACATAGAAAACATTTCTCTGGCTCTACTTAGGACCAACTATAGCACAATGAGAATGACATTGTCTCCCGAGAAGATGTAAATTTAAATAAAATCTCATTTATGTATTCCAATCTAAAAATTCAACTACATTTGGTAGAATAATCAAAGGACCAAGAGTGCAGTGTCTCTTTGGCTCCCTCCTACTCCCTCTGGCTCCTCTCCTCCTACACTGCTGCCTCAGGTCCTGCCTCTACTGTTACGGGTAATCATGGATCTCTGAGTGGGGACATTCTCCTGGCTTGGAGCCCTGACACATGCGCTTTATTTTATCTTGCATCGTCCATTTCCTATTCTTTGCTACTGACTATAATAGGATAGTTATTTATTAATCTTAAAAAATGACACATCCCTAATGTGAAAACAGATAGTATAAAAGTGCTTAAGATAGAATGTGAAAGGACCCCTCTATTCATAAACCTTTTTAGAAGTCATCACTGTTAATAGTAGGTTACATATCATTTCATACCTTTTTGTTTTATCATACATATATACGATAAAGTGTATATATGTTATATGTCTATTAATAAAATGAAGTAATTTTACTTCTCTGCAACTCCCTTAGAGTGTTCTTGTAAGTACACAAGCAATAACCAGACACCTTCTATTATAAAGATTCAAAGAATAAATAAATATAGAGAAAAAAGGGAATGGGTATATGAAAGTGATTTCAAGGTCAGACACTCTATTGATAAGCCATTCTTCCCAGGACCCATTGTCACTTAGAAACCCAAATACCTTTCTTCCAAATGAGCCTTCCCACTTCTGTTCATTAAAATATTATTATTGCTGTGATAACAATAGTGGCAATATGGCATTATCTAAAGGGCATTGGGGAAAGTGTTCTGCTTCGGTAATTAAAATATACCTGTTTGAAATAATTTCTCTAGGCATTCAATCTGTGCCAGAGATTTACATGTTTATAACATTTTTCTGAGGAGGGCAAAGTGTTGTAGTAAAACTGCAGGAGTAGCTATCACCTGATATCCTTAGGGTGGAGAAATGTTCTCATCATGATCGCCATGGAGAAGTGGAAGAGCAGAATGCTTAAAGCACTGGAGTGAGAATAAAATTATTTCCTAAGAAGGCTCTGGGACTCAGCGTAAAACAGTTTCCAGTACCCTTTATTAGTAATAATCACCATATCCTCACCACTATTTATTGAAAGCTTACTATTTGCATGTACTAGGCTAAGTGTTTTATGTACATCATCATGTGAATCTAACTTAATCCTTGCTACTATTCAATGAATTACATTTTATTGTCCCTATTTTACTGAGGCCTAGAGAGATTAAGTAACTTTTATTAAATATTAACTAATTATGTAACTGGAAGAGATTAAGGTTAGGAGGTGGGAAAGGATAGTCATATAATTCACATATGCAGTGGCCAAGACTTGTTCTCTGATTTGTACTCTAGACTTAGGAACTAGAGCCCACTCTATTTTCTACCCCATCTAAAGCACTCCCCCCCCCCATGTCCCTCCGTTCTAATTGGCAAAAGAAGCTCTCTTTACACATAACCATGGTTATAAAAACTTCTCTATTGAATATAGTCCATCAGTTGATTAACTAGGAAATAATTTGAACTAATCCCCTGACCCAGCAGTAAGTAAGTGATCCATTCAGCAGAAGTTGATTCAAATACCTGTAAATGGCAGGTATCATGGGCTGTGATGGAGAAAGGTGGAGTAGATACAAGTCATGCCCTTAAGGACAACAATATAAGATTTTGGTGGTAAAATGGAGATTTATGGCCTTTATAGCATTTAATTTGTTATAATATTCAAATCTGTGCTTTATTTGAAGCCGGATTCTTGGTCTGAAAGAAATTATTATAGCCATTTTCCAATGGGAAAATAACATTTGCTTATGATGAGATTTCTAAAAATCCATGACAAAATATAGGAATTTCTTTTAGCATCCAAGGATAGAGAGGATTTATGCATTCTTTTCAATTCTTCCACTTGGGAAGGCATATTTACTAATAATTCATATACCTGGAGTTGGAAAGATGAGGAGACCCTTTTTCCCTCCTAAATCTTGAGGTGACTAGGGAAACTTTTGGAATATGGGTCAATTAACCTGTCATGAAAAGGTTTGATTTATGCCTTTTTGAAATCTCAACTTTTATTCTGTCTCTGTCCTCATTACCAAAATTTGCTATCAGCTCTGAAATTGTGCTTTATTTAAATTTCTTTAAAAAGTTATGGTTTTTTAATAGACTGGGTAAATTAACATTCTACAGATATTGCATCGAATGTTAAGAGGAACACTAAGAATTTGGGTGAAATTCTAATACATTTTTTACTCAAGGTATTGCTAGGTTAGCACCAAGGTAACAAGGGGAGTATTCACAGACAGGGTCCTTCTATGACTGTTCAGGGTCTGATCAGTTATGTTAATTGCATTTCAGACCCATCAGACTTTCCTCACTGTGGAGAAATATGAGGATGCTTCAGCGACATGGCAGGTGGTACATAATGATGCCTCCTGGGAGACTCGGTGAGCATGTCTATTGAATATTTTGTCTTTCAGGTCTTGAAAACAGTTGGTTAGTAATGTAGGGAAGACAAATGGGAAGACTAGCTCAATACATGATATTAATGATAGCAAATTCCCAAGGAGCTGTCCGGCCATATTTAGTTGATTTATTAGACCTCATTTTGATTCTGTTTTTCTACAAAACGGTGGTGTGTGCCTCTGGAAGATTAGGTGCTAATGAGGTTATGGCCTCCATTCTCATAAACATCTGTTAATTTTTTTTTCCATAGTCAAAGACATTATTCCTAAAAGCTGTCTAGCCTTCTTGCAAATTGGTTGAAAGGGGTGCTGGGTGAAGGTGATGAGAGAGCTCTGTAGAGCCTGGCATTCCTTCTGGAAAAAGAATGAGTCTGTACCCAACAAATATGGTGTGTTTGTATATGGTCCAGGATTCTTCATCTGAATTACCAAAACACAGGAGCTGAGTGTTTACATCAGAGAAAAGTACGCTCAGGGTCTTCAAAAGACACATTGCTGTGCCTGCTGTTACCAAATGCCTGAGCTGACTGGATATTTTGAAGATTAAAAACGTGTCTAAAATAAGACAATGTTTCTGTTCCCAATCTTACAAATTTCACCACAGGACAGTGGCATGGAAGTGGGGGACATTTTTGGCAATTTATTTCTAATTCAGATCACCTTAAACTAAGTGATTATTTGCATATTGGTTTGGTTCACATGGGTAACTGAAAATAGAGATTTGATAGCCATACCTAAATATGGGCATACCTTTCTCCTCTGATCTTTAGGACTCTAGGGCAGTGATGGCGAACCTTTTGAGCTCGGTGTGTCAGCATTTTGAAAAACCCTAACTTAACTCTGGTGCAGTGTCACATATAGAAATTTTTTGATATTTGCAACCATAGTAAAACAAAGACTTATAGTTTTGATATTTATTTTATAGATTTAAATGCCATTTAACAAAGAAAAATCAACCAAAAAAATGAGTTCGCGTGTCACCTCTGACACGCGTGTCATAGGTTTGCCATCACTGCTCTAAGGTATAGGTGGCTTAAAAACAAGGAGTAAAACCATATTTATTGTTAACATAAGGTTATACAGATAGGAAAAAGAGGCTGATTTGTTTTCAGAAGCCCCAGATCAGAATAGCAGTCCACACAGAGATGATGTCTAGCTCTGCTTGGCTCATCAGCAGCAGTTCAAGAGCACCAAGCTTCTGACTGAGAAACAGAATGTTGAGTCCAGGGGATTTACTCTCTCCATAACTGAGGATATCAGTCAATTAGCGCATCCTGTCTCGCTGTATCTAGAAGAGGATCTGAACCCCGTGTCCTGGTCTATAAGGACCAGTGTGATTTGACTCCGCCTGTTTCTGTCACCTAACCACACCCCCACAGTTTACTCTGTCCTAATTCCACTGACCTGGGTCCTGTTCCTTGGCTCTACCAAGTTTGTTCCTGCTTCGGACACTTTGCACTCTCTGTACCCTCTTCCTTTAAACATGTGCGGGCTCGGTTTAAATGATACCTCCTTGGAGATACCTGTCTTACTGATTTCACATACCAGTTATAAGGTTATTTGTGGTTTATTTGCTTATTGCCTTTTTTCTATCATTGAGAAACACAGAAACTTTGGACCATGTCTGTCTTGCTCACTACCGTGTCCTTAGAATAGAGTCTGGCACACATGCCATTAGAAGTGTCAGTTAAGGCTGAGGATGACAAGGCTAAAGGTGCTATAGCAGTTCTAAAGCAGGAGACACCCGTGTTCTGAATATCAGATAAGCCTTCCTGGGATGGCTAGAGTTTAGGACATTAGAAGATGGAACAGGCAAAAGTATTTCTACAAATGGCTGTTCCCTAAAGGTCCTTCTATAGGAAGGAAGTATTTATCTCTGTTCTGTTCATTGCTATACTCTGACTATCTAGACTAGTGCCTTGTTCATATTCATTTAATGAGTAATCATATGTTTTTCTAACCACACATTTTTTTTTAAAGAATAAAATGGGATTTGTTTGTTTGTTTCCTACCAACAGTTTCTATTGGCACAAGGGATTACTGGGTCATAGCAATGCAACGATACAATGGCATATTCCAGATACGGCCAAACCTGGGATCTACAGAATAAGATACTTTGGACACAATCGGAAGCAGGACTTTCTCAAGCCCGCTGTCATACTTTCATTTGAAAGTACTTCCCCTGATTTTGAAGTTGTAACTACTTAGTGAAAAGTTGGCACAGCAGTTAAAGTTTTGCTCTGTATAAATTATGTCACTGATTTTATATGAATGTAAACTATTCTGATGACTTCTACAGTTGTCCCAGTTTGGAGTTTACTGCTAATGGGACAGGTCTGGGTGTGTGTGTGTGTGTGTGTGTGTGTGTGTGTGTGTGTGTGTGTGATACGTATGTGTTCCATTTACCTTGCTCTAGCAATTTTTACCTCATGGTCTACAGCATGATTTCCCTTGGGAACTTGTGGCTGTTTAAAGCAACAGTTCTCCCTATATAAAGCCTCTGAAATGGAAGAGTGGTTGGAGATGTGTGAACAACGTTTAAACTATTTATTTATAGAGTTATTGAATGTTAGCACTGGAAAAGCTTAGAGAGATCACCTAGTTTGACCCTTCATTTTGCAGATGGGAAGCATAAAATTTTATGGATTTAAGATTAGCATAAACCTACTCGACCTTTCCCGTCAGTTACATTTAAAGAACAGTATATAAATATCAACCATAAATATATAAGCCCCGTTAGAGAAAGTAGCATGAAAACTAGCATGCCAGTGTTTCTGTATCGAGCACAGCCTTTCAGAGGAGTCACTCTGGGGTTGATGTGCCCAATCCAGGTTTATCATTGATGCACAAATCATTTCTGGAATTGCCTTCAGAGCCCACTTACAGAAAGTGAGACTTGTAATATTTGGATTATGCCTTGTGTTTCCCTAAGTGCCCTTATCCCACTCAATTATATCTCTTATTCCCAAGACTTGTTCTCAGTGATTTTGACCATTCTCTCTTATCCAGTTTACCCCCCAAACCACAAAGCTTTGCTTTAAGTGTAGATATTAAAATGAAAGTGATGTTGACTTAGAAGGGAGTCCTCAAAGGGGAGGCTTTAAATTCATGTTCTTCTATCGCTCACTCACTCACTTGGTTATGGACCCATTCAATCATGACATATTTATTAAGTCCTATTCTCATACTCAGCATCGCACAAGTGTCTGGTACAATGACAGTTGACAGTTGGTGAGCTCAATTCGTGAGACCGTATTTTGGATGAATGTATAATTATCAAAAGGTGGCTATTTTGTAGGAGAAAATAATCAATTCAAAATATAAATTCTGGGGAGGCATTGAAAAACCAGTAATCTTCAGGTATATCCTCTCTGTTGGGTACTCTAATTTTTTGAAAAAGAGGCTTCAGACAACTTGGAAAAAGCTGTTTTGAAGTTACGTTGGGGCATTACAAAATACCCAGCCCAATGTCCAAAAGAATGAGATAGGACAATCTGACATGGATCGCTGGAAAGTGCTAATTGCATTTAAAGTTATCCAAGTTAACTAGTTGCCCCAAGGCTGTTAAATAAACTTCCAGAAACCAAGTCATGTTTTGTGTGTGTATAAAAGATTCCACATTTTAGGGAAAAATCAATATTTCAAAAACAAACTTCAAAGCTTGAAAAAGAGTCGTAGAAGTAATGATAATATTAACGCCCATGTTTGTAGGACTTGAACATGCAGGAGACTGAACCTGGAACATTTTTTAATGAATCAGTCCTCTGCAGGCTGTTTCTAAGGAAATGAAGTACTGGAGAATTAGCTAATCAGGATTTCAAATGTGTAGCACTCATTTTCCCTAATGACCTCCCAGTAACTAGTGAGAAAGTTCAGAGGCCTAAAAGAGCAGGTAATTCTCAAAGTAGTTGACCCCAGATAGATAAGTTGTATTAGAACTCATGATATGATTTTTAAAGGTATTTCTCATGACTCAGAAAAGTTTTTGAATGATTTTCTCCCTTCATCCCCCACCCCCCAACCCCAAGCTTCCCATTGAAGGTTTCCTCAGTTGGCCAGTGATTCCTTATTGTTTACCTGCAACTGTGCCCAGGCGGCATTGGCATTACCTGTTGATGACCCTCCTGCACCCAGTCCTCTGTCCAGTACTCTTGGCCCCAAACAATCCACAGAAACCTGTTTTGTCACTAACGGCCATTTCTTCCAACCCATGCAGTTCCATTGCTGCAGTTTGTGTGTAAATGTAAGAACAAATACCTGCATTGCAGATACCACAGATTCTTTGGAGCATAAAAGAACACCATCAAGAGGCTGATCTGGTCTGTTCATGTCAGAACAGAGACTCAATCTGTGTCTGTGGCTGCTGCTTCTTGGAGCCAAACCATGTGAAGAAAACTCCTGAAATTAGTGGAGAATGTGGAAAAACAGGGGATTGGGTTGGTGGGAGAATTCTGCTGGAGAAGATTTTGTTTCTTGTGACAAAGTGTCTGTGTTTTGTATGTTGTACTCTGTCTAGTTTTAAGGATGCTGTGATATCTTAAAAAAGGACTGAATAATCCCTCTATATTTTTCAATAAGTATTGCATAAATTGTCAATATTCAATAGAATGTTTAATAAAATAATAATTACACTGGAGAAAGTGCTTTCTAATGAGAGGTGATATAGATGAATGAACACTTTTTTTTTCTTCTTTTTAAGAGGTGGAACAAATGGTGATGGATTCCATGTAAATCAGGCTGGGAAGTGATATAAATGGCTTTTGTAAGTAACCACCCAAACATAAGGGAACCACTTCATCAGTTCCTTCCTGCCTTCCAAAGATTTACTGCTGGCAAAATACATATGGTTGACATTTTTCACTACTAGGGCAACTGAGAGTTTCCTAGATAGACTCGGACTGAATTATGGCTGTGGTATTGTCCCTTTTTTATGAAATGGTGTTGGTAATAATAACCTTTCATGATTGCTATGGACTTGTGTATGTTAATGCTTAAGAGAAAATATCCTGGAAATTTACTGGTTCAAATTCTAGTTGCCATTTATTCAGTGTCAGATCCTGAGTAAATGACTCAATTTCTTAATGCCATAGTTTCTTCATGGGTCTCAATTTCTTTGATAAAATGAGAACAATAAAGTACTTACTCTTTTCATTTGTGAGGGTAAGTTAAGGTAAAGTTGTTGCTGCAGTGCGTGGCATATGATATGTGCTTGATTTACTTAGCTGTTAATTAACTTAGCTGTCACTGAGTGATATGCAAGATGATGCATCTGAGTATCTGGAAAAGAGTAGGGAATAAAAATTCCTCCATCAAGAACTGAATCTATGATTTGCCCCAAAGACATTCTCTGTTTCCTGATATTTTTCAGAGTTGTATTTTTGACATCTCTGATATTAATGTAGGAAGAATTGGAATGGGGTGGGGTTAACTGAGGCTGTAGAGTTGTCAAGACCCAGAGATAATGGAGGCTAGGCCGGGGTCAGAAGGTGGGATGGTATGAAACTCTACAGTTGAAATGGACATGACTAGATGGAGATGGAGAGAAAGACTTTAAAAACAATGAAAACCCTGAAACATTGTTTGGGTGATAGTAACAGTATAAACAAGAGCCAAACAAAGAAGAGAATTTCAGATGGATGATAGTAAATCTAGTTTGGGATGTCAACACTTGATCTTAGACATCTAGCCTCCAGTTCTATGAGCCAATATACGGGTTACTGTTGTTTAAGGCACCCCGTGTTTGGGATTTTGTTATGGAAGCCTTGGGAAATTAATATGCTGACCAATGGATTAATTTTCACCCCTTTAGGCATCTGCCAAAGAGGTTCTTGGGTGCTTTCCAGTTTAGAGGACATAGTAATTATGTCTGTACTTTACTCTCCTAAATAACATGGTCACTTTATGGCAACCGTTCTCATCTATCATTGGTTGCCTATGACTGTCATCTATTGCTGTCAAGGACTATAGTAAACTCTGAACTTAATTTACATATTATACAAAGCCAAGTGAATCAGCTATGCTGAAGCTCTAAGATTTTATGGAAAATGAACATTCTATTAATTTTGGAAATTGATCTTTTATGGCTTATGGGCAAGATCATGAATATCAATTATATATTTATAAGATGACAGAATCAGGACAAATGTAATTATGCATATTTATTCTCAGGTCCTATTGAACTGAGCTATTTTTTTCCTCTCCAATTTATTATGTAAATATTATAAGCTCTGCAGCAATTATAGGACATGCCACTGTAGAATCCATCTTTCTGTTTACATGGAGGCAAAGCCAGAAAGAAATCATGATATACTTCAAAAATTTGGTAGTGCCAGTTTTAAATTAAGGCAAAAAAAAGGTTATATTCATGTTGTACTAGTAGAAAGCATTGCAAAAAAGAGTAACTGAGGTTTTTTTCTCTGTGAGTGATTCACTTATGGTTAAATAAATGACTACTTAATTAGATTCCCACCAACAGTGCACAGGGGTTCCCTTTTTCCCCACATCCTTACCAACACTTGTCCTTTTGATAATGACCATTCTAACAGGTATGAGGTGATATCTCGTTGTGGTTTTGATTTGCCTTTCCCTGATGGTTAGTGATGGTGAGCACTTTTTATATCCCTGTTAGCAAGATGTGTGTCTTCTTTGGAAAAATGTCTGTTCAGATACCCTGCCCATTTTTTGGGGGGGTGGGGGGGCGGTTACATGTAGTCTATTGCTTCATCTGATGACTTTGTTATTACATATGTAAAAGTTTAGCATATTATGTACTTTAGTTAGAGAGGAAACTATCTTGTTGATTTTTTTCTTTATTGATTAAGTTAGTAACATATGGGTCCTTATTGCCCCATTGCTCCCCCCCACTCATGCCCTCTCCTCCCTGTTGTCTGTGTCCATTGGTTAAGCCTATATGCTTGCATACACGTCCTTTGGTTGATCTCTTTCCCCAACCCCTTCCCTCCCCTACCTTCCCTCTGAGGCTTGACAGTCTGATCGATGCTTCTCTGTCTCTGGATCTGTTTTTGTTCATCAGTTTATGTTGTTAGTTATATTCCATAAATGAGTGAGATCATGTGATATTTGAGTGAGAGTCAGGAGGCCTGGATCCCTGTCCTGGTTCTGTCATAAAGCATCTGGGAAGCATTTGGATCAGTTTCTTAACAACCCTGTCATATCTAGGACTTGATCTTGAAAATCTCTGAATTCTATGGCACGTATTTGGTGTCTTTGTTGACAGACTGTAGTAGCTGCTTGGAGAAGTACATG